TATTTAAAAAAATCGCTCATGAAGATATTGAAATTATAAATATATGTAAACTACTTCCTTCCTGTCATAATATTTGCGCAAAAATTATAAGTCGATTTTGTTTGTTTAGAGTCAGGATACACTTTTCCAAATTAAAAAGAAAAACTAAGTTAGGTCCACATAATAGTGGTTATGCTAGCAAGAGTATTGGAATTAGAAAAAACACAAATTTTTAATAAAATATATCCATATTCCATATCCATTTCATGAAAACATCATGATGTGAAAAAGTATATTCTATTTAAACAAACGTTATTCAAATTTATGATTTTTTTTAAGAATGAAAATTCCTGAAGATGAACCCGTGCCATAGCCATCGCCTCACTGGCAACGTCGAAAACATTAGATTTTTGTGTAGAAGAAGAATCTGTGTTACAACTGAATCCTGCTGACAAATTTTAAGCCAAGAAGCTCCACCCTTTTATATAGAAAAAAATGTGAAATTTGGCGATGGCTGTGGCACGACAATTAAAACGAGGTTTTTCGAAAATAAGTTTCGAAAGGGGTTAAACGAGGTTTACACTTTTAAACGAAGATAGAAACATAAAATTTGAAAAATATGTTCTTTAAAAGAAGAAGTGCATAAATCAGGCACTTCGAATGGCTATACAGAAACATTATCAGAAGAAGAAGTTATTAAATTTCTAATAAATGCACCAGATATTATATATTTGATGATGAAGGTAATAAGTATGTTATTGATCATTATGATTTCATTATGATTGCAGGTTTATACAATTTTTGGAATTGCTGGCGCTTGTCGTTCTGTCCGTTCCGACGAATTGATTGAATTAAGTGTTGATGAATTAAAGGGTAGGTAAATGTTATGCTAAAACTGCTAAAACTATTCTTGACGGTGTTCACCAACATGAGCAAACACCATTAAATAGGTTACTTTTTCAGCTAATGAACATGCAGAAACCTTACAAAATTGTGAAAAATAAAGAAAGTACTTGTCTAGTTACCGAAGCAATGGAACAAAAAATAACTGTTCTGCTAGAAACATTGTAACAAACTACTTAAGATAGAAATAGTACAATTTTTTTCATTACGATACAATAAACATTTTAGAAGAAATTATTGTTAAAGATTTGGTTCTTGACGAGTTTACTATCGAACAAAAACGATGAACTGGCAGTCGTCAAAGATGATTGAAAAGTATATAATATGTCCAAACATCTCCTACGTCCCTGACTAATTCTGACGTAAAATTGTGTCAATTTTTTAATTTGACAAAGTTTATAACCTTAAAATAATTTTTGACATAAACTTGACATTAGTTGCTACGAAAAATTTTATTGAAAAAGGAGAGAACGTATATACCTTATCCACATAGTACAAAATTGGCTCGGTTTGACGTTCAGTGTCCCAACTCTTCAAATATAGGAACTCTAGGTTATACTAGTCGGCTAACCCTGTTTGTAACTATAGTTGCCAACAAAATTGACAAACTTGATTTAGATTATGTATCGAGCGACAATTTGTAATCGAGTCACCTTTGCATCCGAGAACGTATGTCTAACTGCATGTGAAACGTCAAATAAAATGACAAGTCAAAAGGTAAAACAGCAAAATGGGCTGGAATTAGTCGCCGACTAATTATTTATAATTAGTAGGACCGCTTTTTTTTGAAGGTAATTTATAAATTTGCTTATTATAATCACCACCTTTTGGATCATGCCTTTTTACTTTCCGACTTGTCATTTTACTTGACATTTTCCAGACATACGTTTTCGAATCCAAGGTTGACTCGATTACAAATTATCTTGATCGCTCGATACAAATTCTTGGAGTTTCTTACGCGAGAGCACGCTACATACCAGGTGAATAAAAAGTATGGAACCAAACGTTTTTTGCTTAAACTATTTATTTAAAAAAAAAAACTAATTGATGAGTGATAAAGTACTATAAAAATGTGATGTTTTCATAAGAATAAATTTTTTCAAAATTTCCTTTTGTTTTTGAGTTCTACAAAAAAAATATTTTTTTAAATGGCAACCCACTATAAAATCATTTTTCTCATAAAAGCTATCCTCTAAGGATTACAACTATCTGCTTTATATTTAATTTTTTCAAAAAATTAAAAATTTTTTTCACAAAAATTGCAATTTTGACAAAAAAAATCGCATAACTCAAAAACAAAACAAATTTTTTTCTGAAAATACGATCCCATTTTTTATATTATTTTAATTTATATTAATTATTATTTTTTGGAAGCAAATGATTAAAAATAAAACCGCTTGGTTCCATACTTTATATTTACCCTGTATGTATATTTGCCTGTGAGAGAAGCAAGCGTCCTTGAGATTGACACCGCAATATTTCAAAGTTCAAAGTTTGTCCTTGTGCTTAAGACGTTATTTCCCATACCTTCCTTGAACTGTAAAACTGTTAGCTAATTTTCTCGGAAATTGTAGTCTTTTGGAGTGACAGTTCAGTGGAGATCTGTGATATTCTAGGGATAAATACTGTTTGCCCTTAATCTTTTCCGGTCATAAGTTCGGCTTCGATTATGTTGTTAGATATCTGTTGGACGATCATTCTTGGCCCATTACACAATTCAGGTGAATTTAAATCTCGTAGTAGTATAATTGGTGATCCTATTTTAAGTCTGAGGCAGTGTCGTAGCATTCCTGGTACTTGTAAAGAATTTAAAAAGTGAGAAAGTGTACGCTTTCTTCAAATTCTACCATTGTGTCGATTGATTTGTATCTATACAGGGCGATTCAGATAAGATAATGAGCCTGACGATCTAGCGATGCAACCCAAAAAACAAATTTCATTTACGTCGTGATCTAATTTTAATTACGATTTATATTTGCAATCCAAGTTATCTTATGTTGCTCTGATAGTGCTTTGACAAGCAATTTATGATTTATAAAAAACTGAACTGAATGGCACTAATAATCGTTCTCTGCACTGATGTCAAAGTGACACAAAATGATAACTTGGATTCAACTTGCAAATCCTAATTGAAATTGGATCAAAGGCGTAAATGAAATTTGTTTTTTCATTTCATTATCTTATCTGAATCGCCCTGTATAGTAATGTATGGATATATTGGATAATACGTACAGAAGTTTGATAGACCCCGTTCGGATTACCAAAACTTCCGGATTATGTAGAGTTTATAATAAATGACACACAGGCTTGCTAAAAAGTATGGATACAGCTAAATATTTTCAGAACGGTTTAGCAGAGGACATTAAAATTTGGGAAACAGTTTACTTATTTTTTGGTCAAAGTTCAGGCGGCAAAGAGCCAACGATAGATAAAAACAACATTTCCAAAAGGTAAAAAAAATTACATTTTTCGAAATGTAATTAGTTCGATCATTTTCGATTAAAATAAGGTATGCATCACAGAACTCAGAAAAAAATGCTCTTCTTAAAAATATTAAATTTGACCCTCCATGTCATTTAAAAATCAAAAAAAGACCTAAATGAAAGAAAGAGGCTCATTATCTTATCTGAATCACCCTGTATTGATTTTGTAATATAACTTTTCTTTTAACTGTAATGAATGTTTTTTAATTTTTTATATTTCTTACAGGAAATAATTATCCGACCACGGGCACAGGAGCAGGACGAAAAAATCTCAACCTCATTAGGGTTGAGGTGGAGGAGGAGGAAAACGATATAACTGAGGAGGAACAACCCTCGCAACCCTCTCAACCCACTCAAACCGAAATGCTAAAGGAACTTAGCAAAAGAAGAAGGGGTGAAGGCTCGGATGCAGAGGGAATTAGCCCAAATTAAAAGGAGGCGCCAATCCATCACCTCCATTTTAGACTAACAGTCTGAAGAGGAAGACTCGTCTAAAAAATTATTAAATAATACTACACCTTTTCCAAGTGTAATTCAGAAAGCGTAAGATATATTTCAGAAAACTTTAATTGTAATTTGGATTTGTCAAGAAAGTATTAATTGTAATTTAGAACCGTAAACTGAATTTCAGAAACCACCAGATGTAATTCAGATTAATTAATTTAACTTCAGAAAGCGTAAATTGAAATTCAGATTAGTCAGTTGTATTTCAGAAAGTGTTAGTTATAATTCAAAGTTTGTCATTTGTAATTGAGAATTCGACAATTGTAATTCAGAATTTGTTATTTTCATTTAAAAATTACATTACCAAAATTCCTTTGAAAATAAAATATCTTATTTATTTTGTAAAATGGCAAGAGTATGTAATTCTTTAATTCCGAAAATAAAATAACTCGTGTTTATGTGTAAACTTCATTTTGAGATAACAGTAAGTAACAGTAACATGAAATTGAATTTATTTACTGTTCTGAATTACAGTAATGGTTTCTGAATTGCAATTATTACTTTATGAAATACAATTGACTAATCTGAATTCCAATTTATGCTTTCTGAAATTAAATTAACTAATCTGAATTACATCTCATGGTTTCTGAAACTCATTTTACTCTTCTGAATTACTATTAACATTTTCTGAAAGGCAATTGACTAATCTAAATTTCAATTTACTCTTTCTGAAACTAAATTGACTAATCTAAATTAGATGTTATGGTTTCTGAATTACACTTGAAAAAGGTGTACCTAGTATTTAAATTAGAATTTTTTAGTTTATAATATTTTAATTTATAATTTTTTAATTTTTATAATGAATAGTGTTTAGTATATCTGCCTTTTATTTTCATATCAGAGGTTCAGTGACAGAAAGGTGATATAGTTGCTTACTACGAGAGGTAATCGAAACTCAGATCGTTGCATTCAGAAGCGTTCACAAACAGAGACTTTAGTTGCTAGTTGTTCGTTATCATTCAAGTAATAAAACAAAAAATTAAACTTCCAATAAATATCAGTGATTCTGATAATTCTACAAACCAAAATCGAAAAAATGGTCTTTTATTACCTTCGTCCATTCTGCGTTAAGTGTAGTTCTAAGCAATTCTGGTAAAACTAACCTAATTATTATTAATCTTATTGAATCTTATTATGTGAAACTCATAAAAGGTTTAAGATATTTTGCATTTAATGGTTTAGAAAACAGTCTTCCGCAGCCGCATGAAGCAAAACCAAATTCTATTTTTATATTTGATGACGTAGTATGTCTTAAACAAAATCTTATGAAAGCATTTTACCATGGGACAACATAAAGGTATTGATTCGTTTTACTTATGTCAAACATATTCACATTTAACAAAGCATCTAATCCGTGATAACGCTAATTTAATCGTTCTTTTCAATCAAGACAACCTAAACTTACGACATGTATATGACGATCATGTAAATACTGATGTATCATTCGATAAATTCAAAGAAATATGTTCAATATGTTGGAAGAAAAATTATGAGTTTTTAGTGACAGATAAAGAAAGGGATATTAATAATGGAAGATACAGAACCGGATTTGAGTTTTACTTTAATTATGAGTTGACGTTCTTATTGTGAACTCATCATCTTACACAATATCTTTTACTATGTGCATTTAGCAGGTAATTTATCTTATTACAATAGAGTTCGTTACAAAGAGCTCACGATACATTACGATTTGATTTATTAAATTGATATCTTTTTGGTCTTTGAGGTTCTTGGGGTTATCACCACACAAAACACGTTTTGAATGTCCTTTTTTTCACTCATTTTCTTGATTAACTGGGGCAAAGCCCTCGTTATTCAAGAGCAAATTCGTGAAAAAAAAAGTATAACTTTCAAAACTAGTTGTACAAATAACTATTCCCGTTTTTTTTAATGTAGCTGTAAATGCTGATTCACACAAAAAGTGTCATTAGTGTCATTCAGAACAAATTTAATCACATCAATAATGACAAAATCAAAAACCTTTATGTTTGCCACCCTATGTTAATTACGTTGTTGGCTTTAATTATTTTTTGCTAGGGTACACATTTTTAGGAAGGATTGAAATTAGGATTGTCTGAATTTTCGCATGGTCGCCAACTTAAAATGATCCCTTTCAACGACTACTTGGATGCACATTAATATGAAAACGACGACAGATCATTCTCATGTATGCTTCCCTCAGTTTGAAGAAAAATGTTTCAGGAATATTAACAAACGATATTCTCTACCTATAAATCTACGTAAGTTGTTTTATTCACAAATACTCGTTTTTTAGATCGTTCTAACCATTTCTATTTACAGGATGGATCAAATATGCCAAGTCATTTGTTCAGGAAGATAAACATAGTAACACGACGAAAAGTTACAAAGAAACATGGGAAAATAAAGAGACGGTGCTCATTCAGACAAAATGTGTGAGGATTTCTAGAGTATCTCTGTAGAGAAAGGTTACACTGCGAATATTATTCTTTATGGTTTATGCTTGGCGGTTAATTTTGTTTATTTTAGATCCACTTCCGAGGGTTTCAGATTTTATGGAAGGAGGGAGGTATAGCTAACCTAATTGTTAGATATAAATCTTTAACACGTTAATCTTTATTTTGTAGATTAATAATCACTCATGATGAAGAATTAAACACGCAAGCAATTCAGTTTTTGTAAAAATATGCAAATAAGAACACATAGTTTAAACCTACACGAAGCCGTCATTTCGTTATTATACCAAATACTAAACTATAATTATATAAATAAATACTTTTGATTTGTTTAGATTTCTTTTTTTTTGTCATTTTAGAATTTTAAAAGGTTAAGAGCTGGTTGGTTCAATGTGGTCAATTTTTGTTATTAATAATCATTAAAATAAACAGATATAGAATCATTAAAAACGCACAAACTGGGAACGCACGTCGTGGCATGATAGTTACTACTTAATTTCTAAACCCATAAAAAGTTTACAAATTCAGTGGTCGAAGCGGTCTTTAGTGGTAATCAAATTTTAATTTGAAACCAATTTTACTTCACAATCGAATTGGCTCCATCGGCTATGGGTTTCGTAAACAAAGTGACTTTTAAAATTACTAAAAACATTATCAAATCAAATTTTAAGCAATTGAATTCGAATTAAAAAATTGAATTCTTTCGTGTCTCCAAGTTTACAACTACAAATGATTTATGGCTAGGAACTAGGGATGGTTGCGGTCAGAGAACCGATCCCAAATGCCGGGTTCCGTTTACTGGCATGTCAGTTTCAAAATTAGCGAGTGAACTACAATACGCTATACATAACTATGGGTGGCGTATTACGTACAGGTTTTAGGTTCTCAGATGATTCCGATATATGACTTTTGTGAATTGTAGAAAAGGTTTTAAGTTCAAAGTCTCATTGAATAATCATATTAACAATTGCTACAAGACCTGTCATAAAGATCAAGGAAAGTTTGTTTGAGAATTTTGTGGTAAAGAATATTCCAAGGAGATTGAATTAAGGAAGCACAAACTATGGATTCATGGTACATAATAAGAAAAGTAAAAAATAAATTTGATACAATATGTATTGTTTTTTGTAAAACCAACTTTGTATGCTTATTAAAAAAAATCCATACAATCTCATTGACTTTTTAACACAGAAGCAAGGATATAATGGAAAAGAACACAAAACAGGAACTCTGTTACTAAGTCTTTATACACTTACGATTCAAATGATAATGTCATATAATTCAAACGCAGTTTGTCCTATTTACAAATTAGAGTAATTTTTATTTTTATATACAAAATAATATTTTCAAAAACTGTTATTAAAAAAATATTCTATTAGATACACTTAAAAATTACCTCATTGTCTTTTGTCCGCTTTTTAACATATTTATAATTTTACTAAAAACCCTCTTAGGTGGTGGTGGCAATTCCATTAAATTGCATTTGATTTTAAACTCATTATATTTTTCCTTCACTTCGCCCACTAGTTTATTTTTATATTTAAAAGCAGTAGAATCCACAGTTGATGCTGTCTTTATACAATCGTCTCCACCGAATTCGCATATTCTGTAGTGGTGTAATATTGCTGCATCTGGTGGAACATTCATCGTTCCATGTCCTGGGATGAACTCCCAAACAAAATGATTTCCAGCTTCAACAACCAATTCTGGTCGACAGATGTATTTTGAACGTTGTTTATGTGGATGTAGTTTACTGCGCCGTCTTGTTTTTTTCAAAGTAACTAAACCAGCAGCCACTGAATCGTTAGAGTCGTACACTGAGTCGTCGTCGCCCCATTGGAGGTAGAAGAAAGCGTTTTGAAAAGAATAGGCACCTGTAGTGCGACTGTTGAATCTGTTGTTCAGATAACTGAAACATTAGATATTTAGTAAAATTTCTAGAGATTGGCAATTTAGTGTGTGTTTGTCAGTGTATATCAGTGTTATATTAATCAAAATTATTCATTTAATAACGAAAATACAGGCTGTGCCAGAACTCGCGCCCCAGAGAAAAAATTTAAGTAAGGTAAGATACCAGGAACATGGAAAAAATGTTAAAAAAATTCTATGGGTCAAAAATTTTTGACATTTATTTTTTGACAATTTTTTATGTGTATTTAATGATACTGATGATACAATATATATGTTTTTTTATAATTATTTAGTAAAGATACAAAAGTTTTGTCAATAAAAGCCAGAAATAACATTAAACAGAGTTATAATTTAGGATATAGCTTCCTTGTTTCCTCTTCTAGTAGCCTGTAGTAAAAAAACTTCAAAAATTATTTAAATTTTTATAGATAGAGTTTTTTTAACATTTTTTTCATGTTCTTGGTATCCTACCCTAAACGGCATTTTTCTCTGGGCCGCGAGTTCTGGCGCACCCTGTATACTAGACGTAACAATGTATTCAATATTTTAGTTGCTTTACAATTTGGACCAAGTGCCCTTTTATTGTCAACAAATCACAAACTAAGCAGAAGAATTATTTCATTACTGATCAATCTGTCGGTTTCAAAAATGTTTGTCTCAATTACGTGGAAACTGCAAAAGTGTTGGGGCTTGATAACGTCAGAGGAGAACAGAGAATTTTAGCCAATCTATACAATTCATATTCGCGCGCGAAAGGTTGATTGGTGAATCGATATTTCGACAGCCAAAGTTACAGAGACAAAAATGATGTGTGTCCAGTGCTAAAAACTATGTATATTAAAAATATACCTGTACATATTTTGTGAGAAATGTAGTGAAATAACTATCAAGATGCATAACTTTATTATTATTTTTTTTCGAAGATGGTAAGCTATGCATTAAAGCAACAAATTACCTTTTGTTTTCATAAATCATATTGTCAAAAGAATTTTGAGCTTCTAAAACATCAATTTTTCTGTATTGTGAGTCGTTTTAAGATGGCAGGAGACAATTTTTTCTTGAATTTCTTCAAAGGTTTCTTCAATTTCATGCAACTTATCCATGCGGGGTCCAAAAGAGTTAATTTTATTTTTTTGAACAGGTAAAACTGTTCAGAAGTTGGGCAAGTTTGTGACAACCACAAGGTTAGGTAGGTAGTGAATTTGGTATCTAATTAAACATGGCTAACCATGGGAAGTCCACAAATGTAACAAATTACAAACAGAATTGATCTTTTGACCAATTTAATTTGTGGTCGATCAGTGAGGTTTGGCGTAAATGGATATTTTCATGATAATCCTAAAGCAAAACAACAAATAAATACTATATCGATTGTTTAACTGCAACAGTTATAAATGTTAACTGACACCTGGTAAAAAATAAAATTTCAATTGAAAAATAAATAAGCCTTATCCAAAAACATCTTGAAAGAATTATTAAGTTATTTGTAGATAATGTTACGTAATCTAAAGTTCATCCTGCTTAAATAGTACTTAAGTAGTTATGCAAGGTGTAGTAATTTTAGTGTTATTATTTCAGTTTATACGGTTTACCTGTGACAACTTTATAACGAGTATAAATGTTTATTTAATTAATTAACCAACTGTTTAAAGGTCGATGTCTAATATGAGATTTAAATGATGTAGATATAAATATTGAGTTCCAGATGGCTAATTAGGCTTAATTTTCAAACTTGTAATGAATATCCCACCCTAAAAATTGATCAGATGACAAAATTTAAAACAGATTAAGTACTTAATTTATTTCAGTACGGTGAATTTGTACTATTGTCCTTTTATGAAATCGAAAAGTAAAAATTTTTATTTGTAAGACAACGTAAATATTATTCAATTCTAATCGAAATAATAAACGAATCTATTAATCCAACTTGTCAAAAAATTGAACTTTCGCTACGCAAAAACTTTCATTGTTAAAGTTGGTGGTAATTATGAGAAAAGTTTGTGAATAGGAAACGTTTCCTTGTAGATTTGATATCGCCTCAATTTCGTGACTTGTCTGCTTTAAATCCACTTGGAATCTCCCCTAGTCCTTAATAAATAATATGGACAACATTTTAAGAACACACGTTAAGTTTTAGCTTGTACTTAATTTTTAATAAGCTAATGTGTTTAGTTTACCTTATTCTTTCTTCATGTAATTTACCTTTCTATTTTCCAGTTTTGCAAACAATTTAGGATAATTAAAATAACTAACCCTAGGATGCATGATTGTTATAAACTACAGATTTACATAACGTGGGTGAAAAATACTCTAGAGCATTTTTTACTTTTATATCTACACAGAGTATTTTTTACAAATAGGTTTGCTACTTGTACACACACTTTGTTGGGCCTTTTTTTGGTTGTTAATTTTTTATTGGTGTGTTGCTTGTTTGTCTGTTTGTGCATTTGATATAAATTTTCAAATACCTTTTAAAATTAACTTAAAAATCACACAAAATTTGAATAGGTTTAAACACCCGAGTTATGTGTAATTACAAGAATTTTTTTTTATTATGTAAATTCCAATCTCCAATCCAATTCAATATAACTTCAACTATTATGTTAAAAATATTATAAAGAAGGCATAACTATAATCTTATAAAATTATCAGTAAAAATAAAAAAGAAATTTAAAACTAAACAAACAGTCGGGTACAAAATACCCACGTTATGCATCCGAAGGTTTCTAAATGTTTTTTTATTCAAAAAAAGTAAAATCATGTCCTAAATAAGTTTTTTGCTTTAGTTTTTCCGTAAAAAGTGATTCTGTGTCGAATTTTTTACAGATTATTGCCCGTTCTTTTCTGTATGAGGACCAATTTGTTTCAAAATTATATCTTCTGGTGCCCCAGAGATGCAAAGCATTGAAAAAGATGTTGCTTTTCTAACGTTCTTAAACTTTCGTACAGAAAGTAGGCTACATAAAAAGGTAGTTAAACCGAAAATTATTGCTTATGTCAGTAAAAAAGCACAGTTACGTCTTGAACGCAAAAGATCTGAAAAACTTGGAACTTCAAAGGATTTTAATAATAACAAAAGAAATAAAACAGTAGGTATAAGTACGTACTTTTGTCCTCAACAAAATTTGAAAATTAAAATCGGCGTTTTCTCTCCTAGCTTGAATAAGAGTTCTCATTCGTTCGGGCATGCTTTGTATCAAAACAGCAACCCCGTTCTTCTGGACCCATATGATTTTTTTTCAATAAAACAACTTATTTTTAACAGAAAACCACAACAGAAACACGCAACAAACACCAAAAAATAAATTAAACACATTATCAAGTTCAGTACAACAAGTAAAACGGTTAATTATTATTGAACGCTCCCATGCCTGCTTAATACGAACATTTATTGAAATTGGAAATGTAATCCTTTTTTTGAGTTATATCTCTCATGTCTCAAAATGTGGTACATAATTCAGAAAAGAATGGGCAATAATCTAAAATCAGTAAAAACTTAAATTTGTCTATGTCGCGCACTACAGCTCAGTATAAAAATAAGTAAAAAAAACAGTGCCTTCGTCTTTTGAGTATCATATTTAGAAGACAAAACTAGAAATGTTATTGAATTAATTACAATGATCTACAAAGTTTTTTCTTTAAGCCAAACAAAAATTCGTCGAAATCTGACAAAGAATAACAAAAATTATTGCAAAGTGAAAAATCGCGAAATTTTAGTTGTCCGGTTAATTTTGGCGGAACGTGTATTTGCTGTTTTCATGTTTCTCTTTATTGCAATTCTTCCAATATTTGAATATAATATTAATAAATGATTATGTATGATCTGTATTTAGCAAAGCAGAATAAAAGAAACTTTTCTTGTTCTTTAGTCCGTAAATAACTAAAGCATAAAAGAGACATCGACACAGATTGAGCTGTTGGATCACCTGTAACTTATTAATCATATCCTCAAGTGTTCATTGCAACAGTTTAATCAATTTTTTAAGGCAATTTTTCCTTTGATAATAAAAAACAGGTGCGTGTGTGTGTGAAAGCCGAAGCAAATGTGATGATTCAACTCACTCGATAAGTTGGGGTAATGTTTCATTGTTCCTCGGTATGATGTACTCATCTAGATCTATGAGAAGGACGTGTGAATAGAGATTCATCGAGCGATATAGGCAATCATTGAGGGCTGCAAAAAGTCCTTCGGTACGAATTTCCTTTTGCGACAGCATGTTGAGTTGCCAGGGCAACAGAGTAACTAAGCCGCGATCAACGTAATCTTGCAGAATACATCCGACTTGACAGCCGATTGTGTGGTTGTAAAAAGTGAAATGTTCAACGCCCATTATGCGATTCAGTTCGATAAATTCCAAAATTTGGAGCGCCTGAAACAAATCTGAGGTATAACACAGGAAGAAAGAAGGATAAACGTGTGTCCAAATCTATTTTTTTATAGCAAAACTACCTATAATTAGAACAGTCTTTTTTTTTGAACACACTCAATTAGTTACATATCCGTTGACTCATCGTAGTATGCACCTATTAAGCATTCAGTTGTCAATTCCTTGCAATACGATTTTAAACTATTGAAGATGAATTAAAAAATAAATAAGTTTCTTATTGTATATAAATGACAAAACAGTAATTTATGTAAATAAAATAATTTAGAGTGCGTTTTTTATATTGCTGATCTGAACATAGCCCTTGTTGCTCAATTTTAAAAAGACCAATGATAGTCTAATAAGTACGAGTAGCATCTCTACAATTTAAGAGCAACGAAATAAAGAAGTTGCTTTATTTAAATGAAGATAATGACAAGACAAACAAAACAATTACAAGCAGATAGAACATACATTAAATACTTCACAGTAAGAAATGAAGTTATAACAAAAATTTTAGCAGCGTTTTCAAACAATTTTAAAAAACCTGAGACATAGCAAAATTTTCTGATGGTTTATAATTTTTTGGCATTGTTTTTTTAATTTTTGGTATAATTTTATTTCGTACATATTACAGAGTGAGGTACGCTCTACTTGCCTGAAATATTCGTATTCGTCTTCATTTAAATATAATCATTTTCTCATTTCGTTTCTTTTAAAATTCAGACCTGGTAGGTTCCTACACGTTGTATGCACATGCATCCTGCAATGAATTGATTTTTTTTAGCTGAACGTAGGGCTATTTCCTTTGTGTAAATAAAAAGAACTTACTGTATAATTTACAATTGTATTTATTTTATTTACTATACAGATGTTCCGTTTTTATTGTTATAAATTTAAACAGATGATTTTCAATATTCAATTTTAAGAGAAAAATTTCCTATGAACATTTGTCGAAAAATACTATGTAAGGGAGCTACACCCCCTGAAAGGGTTTTCAATGGGTTTATTCCATTATTTCAGAAAAGACACACAGAATCACAAATTTTGTTACAGCGTGTGGTTACAGCTGATAACCTAAACGAATTTAAAGATCAATCAGGGGTTCCTAAACTGGGGGAAGTAAAAAAAAATAATTTTAATTCTGTTTATTGTCTACACATAATTTTTAATTTGATTTTGCTCAGAAACGGTAAGTTGTATCGAAACAACACAAGAGACCCCTTTTTTTTTATGAAAAACCATTTAGGATTTTGTTGCTGAAAGTGGCAAGAAAATACTGCCAAAATTATTAATTAATTATGTTTATTGGAAACTTTTATCTTAAAACTGAATAATCTATCACCTGTTTCAATTTGTAACAATACAAACGAAACAGCCCTGTATCTTTTTGAGACACCGCTAAATAAATGGCTTAAAATTTTAGATATCATTTTAAAATGTACAGGGTGTCCCAAGTTTTAGGGCCGGCTCAAAAACAAATAGTTCTAATCGATTAAAAAAAATGCAAACGTTAGAGTATTATAGTACATACAGACTTCAATTTGATGCTTTAATATTGTTCAAAATTTTTAGCGTCTGTCAGTGAGGCCCTAAAAACCAAATCTGAAAAAATTTTTTTTAATTAAATGGAATCTTTTCCATACGATAAAATTTTTTAATTTTCTCTAATGGTACCTAACTGTGGAAATTGAATTATGTAAAAGTCGATAGATTTTGAATAATTAACATTTTAATATTGAAAATTAGGAATTCTGGTAATTTATGGCTAAGCTTGGGATGATGTGCTGATAATGCATTGACAATAGAGCGGAGGCTTCACAACACGTCATAAATGTCATTGCGGATTTTTTTCTTTTGACGCATAATTCTGGCCTGTTCACCAATTACCGCAAACCCTCTCACCCCATAAATTATTTTAGTTACCCACAATTATTCACAAATACCACAGAAAAAAATCAAAGAATTTTATCATGTAGAAAATATTCCAGTTAATTGATTTTTGTCTCCAAATTTCATTTTCAAGATTTCACTGCCATAAAATTTTGTACACCCGGGGAAAAAACTATTCACCAGTCTAACTTTGTACTCGGGCTGCGCTTTGTCGCAATAGTGTTTCAGACTAACTAGAGCAGGTAATATGTCGAAAAACCCTTATTATTTTGCAAGTATACAGTAAGATGTTCCCGGATTAAGAGGAGGAAGAAAAGAGGAAAAAAAAATTACCTTTGATTTTACGCCAAAACTGCAAAGGAAAAACAGTTTTAGCCTGACTTGACTTTTAAGATTCTTTATCTACAACTTTCAAAACTCAAGATTGTAGAACTAGTTTTAAATGCCAGAATTTTTTAATAAACTGTGAATTTTGCCAATTTCTATCAAGTTATTTCTTTTATAATCAAAATTCTGAACTTAATAATATATTTTATAATAGCCTGCCAAAAGAAAACAAATTTTTACATTTGGTTTTACGCCAAAAAAGCAAAGGAAATACTTTTTTT